CAGGACGAAACATTACTGGATCCTGGGCCATCTTCACGATTCTTGGTATGTTTGAGTCTACTGTTGTGGCTATTGTCTGAATCCATCTCATTGAAGGTTTTTCCCTCAGTTTTGTTGGCCCTCTGTTTTACCAAACATGATGTCCTTTTGTAGTGATTAGCCTTTCCTGATGACGTGTCCAAAGTGAGTGAGTGAGTGAAAACCCTACTTTGAAGCTTTTTTTAAAATTTTTAATATTAAATTAGAGTCTAAAAAGGTTACCTTCTATTCCTTTTCTTCCTTACCTCTCCTTTCCTTATTCATACAACCTGTGACATAAGGCAGCCTTAAACACAGGTTCTGATGGAGATGGGTTAAGGAGGAATCTGTCTTCATAAAATACCAAATAAGATTAATCTCTGCCTTTGAAAAAAGGCAGGCTTAAGTTTTTTAGGGGGCTTTATTACTGCAGATGGAACTAGGTAGTGAGTGAGATGATGGAACAGAGGCTGGAACTGCTACCTGTGAAGAAATGTCCTTAACATGACCTAGAGAGTTGTTTTGTATGTTCCTCATTACCTCTCTGGCCTCATCGTCTATTGGTCTCCCCCTTGTTTATTCCACTCTAACCACATTGGCCTCCTTGCTGTTCTTTGAACATGGCAAATACACACCTACCTCAGGACATTGGCACTTGCTCTTTTCACTGCTGGATTGGTGTTCTGCCAGATTTCTGCATAGATCAGTTCCTCACTACCTTGAATTGTTTACTCAAATGTTAACTTCTCATTATAGCTTTCCTGACTACCCTGTCTAAAACTGCAGCTTTTTTTCCAACCCAACACTTCCTTATCGTCCGTTTCTGCTTTCTTATTCTACTTAGTATTTATTATTTTCTAAAACACTATGGAGCACAGTTCTGCTCTGACACGTGGGGTTGCCATGAGTCAGAATTGACTTGATGGCACCTGGTACTGGTAATGTTACTATATAATATATAATATCTTTCTTGTTTATTGTTTGTCTTTTCTACTAGATTGTAAGTACCATGAAGAGATTTTTTGTTTGTTTTGTTCACTTCTATATCCTCAATACCTAGGAAAGTGGTGCCTGGTATATAGTGGTACTCATTAATTTGTTGAGTTAATGAATATTAAAAAAAAATTGGAATTTTATTGGAGAGTACAAGTGTTCACACTTGATTTATTATGGTTGCTAAGGCCAGTCCTAAAATATCCATTGGTGGCACTGTTGGAAATCTGAACTAAGAGATTAATCTGTTAAAACATTTTGCATTTTGCTTCTAAGTTTGATTTAATGCAGCATAAAACAGAGATGTGATGGTATTATTAGTAAAGCTTATAAACACATTTTCTTAGAAAGATCTTTTCTAATCTTAAAAGTCTTAAAAATACTGTATTAGAGGTGCTGTTTTAAAGGTTGATATGTTAATATCTCGACCTTCTGCAATAGAGTATTTGAGTGTTTGCTTTTGTCCACTCACTGTGAAGAATGTTTTCAAGTTTTAGAGATTTATCACTATTGGGACTACAGGGTTTCATGCAAGGGGACAGCTATTTTTGTATTCTTGTTTTAAATCAAAGTAATATATGATTTTTTAAAAATATAATTAGGATGGAATGCCTTATAACAAAAAGCAGCAGAGTCTCCCTTTTCAGTATTCCCAAGATGGTCTTTCCCCTCAGAAGCTATCCTTTTAATTTTTTTATGTTTCTTCTGCTGGTAATGATAGTAAACATCTCTAACATATGAATGCATATTACGTGCTTTCTACTACTCTAAGTACTTTACAGATTAAAAAAACAAAAAATTGATTACCCTGTGAGGTTGATAAGGAGCCCTGATGGTGCAGTGATTAAGCGCTTGGCTGCTAAATGAAAGGTTGGTGGTTCAAACCCACAGTGGTTCCTCCAGAGAAAAGACCTGGCAGTCTGCTCCCGTAAAGATTACAGCCTAGGAATCCCTATGGGGCAGTTCTACTCTGTCCTGTAGGGTTGCAGTTAGTCAGAATAGACTCGACAGCAGCCAACAGCAACATGAGGTTGATACTGGTATTATCATCTACATTTTTACAGATGTGGAAACTGAGACACAGGGAGATTAAATAATTGGTCAAGATTATACAATTAGTAAGTGGAAGCACTAGGACTTAACACAGGCATCCTGACGTGACTACCTATTATTTTTACTTTTATATTGCCTCCACTCCACTAAATAATATGTTGGTACTGTTATTTCTTGATTTATTGCTTGAATTTAATGTGATATATGAAGATTTAGTTTTCTTACTACTGGAGTTTGGGGGTGAGGAGGTAAATGCTTGGCTGCAGTGTGTTCTCGGAGAGGCAGGGCAAAATTGGAATCTTCAGTTTCAGAGCTGCTCAAACTATCTGTGGTAAAAGAGTTGTGCATTTTTTTTTTCTTCAATTATTTTTCTGTCATAGATTGATATTTTAGAAAAATACAATAAAAAATGTGTTACAAAAATGAAATTACAAAAAGACACACAATACAATAAGCCCTATTTTAAAAAGTTTGCTTAAACAACATTCTGTCAAATTGCTATAGAAGTTGAAGGTACTAACTGTCCAGTTTCTGTACGTGTTTCTTCAGAGGCTTGTAACACATAATTCTTGGACTGACACTGGTCCATGGTCTATACTTTGAATAACTAAAGTAACTATTAACCAGTGACTTTTGAGTCTGTTCTTACTCATGGCAGTCCTTGTGTGTCCGTGTAGAACTGTCCTCCATAAGGTTTTCAGTGGCTGATTTTTTGGAAGTGGATGAGTAGGCCTTTCTTCCTAGGCACCTCTGGGTGGACTCGAACGAACCTCCAACCTTTTGGTTAGCAGCCAAGTGCATTAACTGTTTGCTGCACTCAGGTACACTGCCCTAATCATATTCAGGCTTCCAATTAATCCTCTCCCTTTTCAGTCATGTGTTTTAGTTCTGCCTTTTCTCCTCATTAGCGTTGCTAAGTATCGAACCTCTTTGGAGTTACATAGGGCAGGTTGACTTCCTCTTTGGTTTTATCCCTTTCCATATCTATTCTGGTCTATGACTTTCTCTACCTTGATTCATTTGTTAACCTTTTCTGTATCTACTTTCCATTCTATGGGAATTTGTTGAAATATCTTCATCACTGATAGCTCCATTCCTTTTCTTTTCATTGTTGTGACTTTGTATGTTTTTTTATTTCCTTATGTACTATTTTAAGGAGCCCTGGTGGTGCAGGGGTTGAAGTGCTTGGCTGCTAACCAAAACGTCTGTGGTTTGAACCCACCAACTGTTCTGCGGAAGAAAGATGTGGCAGTCTGCTTCCATAAAGATTTATAGCCTTGAAACCCTATGGCGCAGTTTTACTCTGTCCTGTGGGGTCGCTAAGAGTCAGAATTGACTTGATGGGCAGTGGGTTTGGTTTCGGGTATGTACCATTTTAATAGGTTTCAGGAGGGAGAGTAGCAAATTTTTATGGTAAGTCTACTGTTTTGTAACCTGAAAATGTGTCAAATATTTTTTTCCCCTTTAAAATCTAGGCATTATACGGACTTGGCATCTAAGGCTGTATATGCTGTTGTGCAAGTTGTATACTCTACAGTTGTGTATGCTCACCCCTTTGGGCCTGAAATCCAGTTCACTAAGTCTTGTGCCCTCTTGGGGGACTGTAAGAGAAAGTGCCTATTTCTAGTTTCACTAAGGCCCCATTAACTCATCAAGCGGTGTGTTTGTGGTGCTGCATCCAATTTAAGAGAGTGCCTTTTTATTATTCGCATAGAAGTGTTGTATGTCTTAGCAATGACGTAGTTCAAGACCCTTAAACTTTAAAATATCTCTTTTTCAAAATTCTACCAGTTAGATATTTATTGTATTAAGTAACTCCTAACATGGTCAGTGAATTTGTTGGTTAGTTCTTCTCTGTCCCTTTCCCATCCTCCAACTCCTAAATCTCAGTTGTCTTTATTATGGGTTCCATTGCATGCATGTATCCTCTTAATAGTATACTTTTTTTTCTCTCATTGTGTTGTGCTCATCTATAACATGTTAGACTTTATATCCTTATATTCTAAGATAGTGGTTATGTCCAGTAAATCTTTCTTGAAAGAAGGAATGAATTTTCATTTATAGTTTGTGTGATTGTATCATCAGTAAGAACTGGATTTGTACCTTAGTAACAGAAAACTTGATAAACACTGGCTTAAGCAAGTGAGAGATACACTTTTGCTATGTAATGGGAAGTCCCAGAGGTAGGTGGTCCAGGCCTGATGCAGCTGCTTAAGGAACCAGTATCCTCTCTTCCAAATCCATCTTCTTAGTTTATAATTTTTGTGTTCATGGTCACAAGATGACTGATACGTCTCTAGGCACTGCATCAGGGTCTCAGGAAGGAGGAAAAGGAAGAATAAAGGGAAATCTCTTTTTACAAAACTTTGCATTTTTGTTCTGGTAGACAATGCCCACCTAGGGACTGATACCTACATTTCATTGGCCAGAACTATGTCATATGGCTAATCCTATCTGCAAAGGAGGCTGCGAATTTCAATATTTTGCTTTTAAGCTTCTGTAGGAAAACAAGGGAGTATCAGGAAGCAGTATAGCATAGCGGTTAAGAACATAGACCTGAGTTTGAATCCTGGCTGTTACTTCCTAGCTGTGTGACTTTAACAGCTCTGTGTCTCAGTTTCTTTATCTATAAAATAGGTATAATAATAGGTACCTACCTCACTGTGTGTATAGTTTGCTATTTAAGTATTAATTATCATCATTATTTTGGAGCTTGATGTCCCCTAGGGTGAACTTGAACAAGTTGTCATTTTGCCAGCAATCCCCTAAAGTTCAGCTGCATAGAAATTTCATCTCATTGGTAGAATGTTTGATGACTTAACTCTGAACTATTCTTTAAAATATGATATTGTCAGTATTTTGACCAGCCTTTTCCAATTTGTAATCATTCTGTCTAATAAAAAATATGTCTGTTTATTCTTGTATTTACTTTTTAGCCCCATCTGCTTCGATATGATTGAAGAAGCATACATGACGAAATGTGGCCACAGCTTTTGGTAAGATGATTTTATTCAATGAAATTCTTTTGGCAACTTTTAATATGTAAATGTAGCCATTGAGAAATTATGTTTTTTAAACAAATTTTAACTATCTTGTAACCATAATATTTTCTTGACTAATATATCTTTACAGATCTGACAGTTTCAAAGCAGTAAACTTTTGTTCGGTGCATAATTTCTGTGAAATACTTAGGTTTGCCAGGTCTGACAGATGGATTTTAAAAGTTTTGGGTTTATTAGTTGTTAACTAAGAGTTTTGACTGCTGTTTTAGAAAACCACATCTGGATGTGCATACTGTAATGGGGCGCTGGGCAACCTGGATGAAGTGTTAAGTGCTACTTACTCACCTGTGGGGATAGGAGGGCAGCACAGTAAAATAAGCTGAGAAGGACATGGGAAAAGGATATAGAGGATTAAAAAGTCGTATATTGTCTTCTTTAACACTTTGTTCAGTGTTATTTTTAGATTATGTCAATCCCATTAATCTCTGCTTTTAATTCCTTTTTTATTTTTTGGTTTTTTGATGAAGAGTGATACATCTTAACTTCTGATCAGTTATCTTCATAAATCGTTTGCCTATTCTTTTATCATGTTACTTTTGCCTTAGTATTATAGAAGTGCTCTAATAATCCTTATATTTTAATTAATACTAAAATTAGGCCCATAATTTTATACTAAAATTTGATATGATATCTGGCAGGTTGATATCCCTTAGTCATGACAACTATTGGGTGTTAATAGCATTTATAAATCATTTAGTTTGATTCCTAGTGGTGCAGTGGTTAAGAGCTCGGCTGCTAACCAAAAGATTGGCGGTTCGAATCGGCCATCTGCTCCTTGGAAACCCTATGGGGCAGTTCTACTCTGTTCTGTCGGGTCGCTATGAGTCGGAATCAACTTGCTGGCAGCGGTTTAGTTTGATCTCGAGCATGATGCTTCTTTGATAGGTACGTCCAATCTGCCAGTCATTTAAGAAAAAATTTAGAGTTAAAATAACTTTGTTAGCTTGCATTATCTACTTTATTAAAAATAAGAAAATATTAAAGTGATAAAAGCAATGTGTACTTGTAGCTAAAAAAGCATCTTTTATTGTATAGAAAGATGTAGTATAAAATGCAAGTGTCTTCCTTCCCCTTAGCTTTTCTTGCCCACGTCATTAGATGTTACCACTGGTAAGTGGTGATTGTGCATTCTTTCAGAATCTTTTGCTATTTTTTTTAAAGGCCATCCTACCTTCTTGAATAATTATTTCCTGATGTATCAATGCATTTACATATTATTATGATTTATGAGTCACTTTATGTTCCGTGTACCTGATGAAATTTTGGTCACATAGGTCTTGCTTTTAGGCTGATATGTGTATGGGCTTGGTCTTTCCAGGCTGATTGCTTAGCAGTAGTATTTTCTTTGGCCCACAAATTGATTTGGTACCTTAGCATTCCATAGAAAATCACACCCTTATTTCAAAGACTTTGAATTTTGATTATTCTGGAAAACTGGTTGACCTAGAGCAGAGTTTCTCAGCCTCAGTACCATTGATACATTAGACCAGAGAGTTCTTTGTTTTGGGTGGCTGTCCTGTGCATTGTGGGTTGTTTATCAGCGTTCCTGGCCTCTACCCTGTAGTACCCATCTCCTGCCCAAGGTAGTGACAACTAAAAATGTCTCCAGATATTGTCAAATGTCTGTTGGGGGACAAAATTGTCCTCAGTTGAGGGCCACTGACCTAGAGCTAAAGGAGCAAGCTCTTTAAGTCAGGAGATCAGGATTCTAACTCTGGCTCTGTCTTAACCTTTGTTACTCAAGCTATGTCTTCTTCTGCTCCTGTTTTCCCCTCCTCTCCCCCATCCTCTTCCTACTCCTTCACTTTCTCCTCCTTCTTTCAAAGATTTGAAAAGTGTTGAAATGCTAAACAGATTTTAGACTGGGGTTTTTATTTTTCCTAATGTCTTCTTTTAATTTATAAATTTACTGTGGTATTTTTAAAAAGGCTCTGAAAAGTCTACTGCATTAGTTCAGTAACTTTGTTTCGCTATATACCCACTCCTTACTTTTCGACATGGTTAGGTTTCAAAGACCAGGTCGTTACGTGAAAATTGACGTTATGCGAAAATGGAGGATGACTACGTTAGATCACAAAATAGAGGATGACTGCGTCATTACACAACTGTCAAATTACATCATTACATAACTGCCAAACCACTGAGAATCGTGGCCCAGCCAAGTTGACACACAGCCTTAACCATCACAGCCAGCGTTACCCTCTCGCCTCACACCTCAGTGTCCATTGCTGCCAAATATACATCGTTAATGTGCAAAATAGTCGGATAGTAAATTTTTTACTATATAGTAAATGTGAAATGTTGGATAATGAGATAGTCGATAAGTGAGGAGTGGGTATATTGTGAAGTGTAATAAATTATTGATTGACCTGATAAGTAGACATGCTGTGCTGTGCCAAAGACTACTATTAGACCTTTGATCCACCATAATTTCCTCCATTTTACTTATCTTGAAAGATTTGTGAGAAAGTAGGAAATAACCAGAACTGTCAAACCTGACGGATGTAGTGTTTTCACTTGATAAGGTGGAGAGGGGCAGAAGAATATAAAAATCAGTTTATAAAGGTAAAGTAAATTGATAGTAATTTGGATATAGAATAAAATAAGTACTTTCTTTTTAGGAATCATTTTTATAAATCAATCTTATAATTTTTTATAAATTTTTTTTTCTGGTCTTCTCTTTGAATCAATCAAAATTCATTAAAACACTGGTGTTTTTAACTTAGTGTATTATGTCACTCTTTATTTTCTGGTTTTTAGAAGTAATACATGTTTACTATATTGAAGCTTGGATAAAAGACATCTACAAAGGGAAAGTTTCTCATAATTGTATGACCCAGAAACAGATCCTGTTAATATTATGGTGAATTTCTCTTCCAGTTTATTTTTAGTGTACACATACACTTTTTTTTTTAACAAAAATGAAATGATATTTATCCACTTTTGTATATTGCCACATTTATTCAATAATATAATGATATAATGACTTTTTTTCTCATATTATTTAGGTATTTCTCTGTGGTTTAGCTGAACAATCTTTAAAACTTCTTTTTATAGACAATACATATCTGTAAGAGATTAAACATTGCAGAAATATGTAATGTAAAAAAAAGGAAAGTTTCCTGTAGTCCCATTTCTCTAGAGAGAACTATTAATAGCTGTTAGATTATTTTTTATGGCATATAGTTACATATTATTATATGATTTTTACTGCCTGCTTAGCATTGCATTGACTTGGTGTTTACCAATATATTTAATGGATTTCTTAATGCTTAGGCTGCGTTTAATTTATTTTGCTATTTACAGGTAACCCTATACTGATCATTCTTGTTACATATACATCTCTGCTTATTTCCTTAAGATAAATTCGTAGAAGTAAAATCACTAGGTCAGAGGGGATGCACAGGCTCAAGGCTTTTCATATAACTTGGCTTCCCAAATAGTTGTACCCATTATATTTCCTCCAGTAGTACATGAGATTGCCCATATCCACATGTAATCCTTAATTTTGACAGTATTCTTTTTTTAAACTTTTTGCATTCTGATCAGTAAAAACGAGTATATAATTTTAAATCAGTTTTCCATTACTAGTGCAGGTGATGATTTTTTTCATGCTTATTGACTGATTTTTGCCCTTTGTTAATTTCCCTATTTCTTTTAAATTTGAATTTTTTCTTCGTCTATTAAGGATGTCAGCGCTCCTGTGAACACCAGTAGTTTCTTAACTAACCTATAGGCATTTACTTTTCTTAGTGTTGTAATAGACAATTTAAATTGTATAAACTTAAAATTTATTCAGTACATTTTTTAAAATTTTATATCTGGTAGGCTTATTATTAGAGTTTACTTTGTAATAACTTTTGGATACTGTTAATCCAATTAATGCCCTAAGTGTCTTATTCATGATATAAAAATATAAGCAGAGATACATTTAATGAGGAATAAAGACTAATAGGCATTATTTTGTGACCAATTTATTGATTTATCATTGATTTAATTATACCTGTTTTATTTTTCCTTTACTAATAGCTACAAGTGTATTCATCAAAGTTTGGAGGACAATAATAGATGTCCCAAGTGTAACTATGTTGTGGACAATATTGACCATCTGTATCCTAATTTCTTGGGTGAGTGTTTGGAATGACTTTTATTTTTTAAATAAACTGTCCCTCAAAGTGTGTGCTAGCACCAATTTTTTCAGAGAACCTAGCTTAGAGGTAAGTAGCTCTTTCTCTCCCACTCACCAGGGAACTTCCCTCAGTCTTTTTTGGGTTGTATCATAGATTCCATACCATATGTTGTCAGTACCAAATCATGTTATTTTTAAGTTTCATTAAAAAAAAAAAAAATTGACACAAGTCTTAGATTCATGCATAGATGGCTAGGCAGAATGTGAGGATGAAGGAGAATGTCAGAGGTCCAGAACACCTGTGCCTCTACACAGTGTTGTGCATTTCTGTTGCTTTTGGGGGCAGAAGTGAGAAGAAACAGAGGAAAGGCTTAATATGGAGGGAAAAGCAATGTTTGGGGAATATTGAAGGGAAAGAGAAAAAAAAACCAGAAAACTTGAGTATGAGGATTCCTGATTGGGGGAAGAGAGTCTATGACCTGGAGAGGCAATTGAAAAGTAAGAATTAGGGAAGGAACACATGGATATAGAACTTTTGAGAGAGGAATGGTAAGAACTGGAGAAGAGATGAACAGGGAACCCTTAAGTGTAATTGGTTGGGAATAATGTCTAATCAGAGGCCAGTTGTGTACATCAAAAATTCTACATGTTGAAAAGCCTATGATATTGTGGGAAACCTTTAGTCTAAATGTTTTATAAATGAATAAGAAACCAAAGATTAATTTTAAAATATAGTTAGACATGGAACCGGACACCATCGGGTATGTATATCAACAAGCTTGATTTTTCATTCTAAAGAGTAACATACTCAGAGATACAGCGTGGAGTCTACTTGTGTGTTAAATTATGACCTGCCAGTGCTTCAGCTGCAGTATGATTTTGCTTAAGTCAAGTGGTGGTTTATAATAAATCATGAATTTGAACCTTTTTAGCTATGGTTTTCAGTTTTACCTCTGCTCTAAAATTACATTGGCTGCAATCCTTTTTTCTCTTTTATTTTTCACTATAATCCATATCTTTTAATGAAGAAAAATCACTGAGTGATTGCATAGCATGAAGGAGCACTGAAGGAAATATTTTGACAGTTTTCTGCTGGAATGAGAAGTTCTTCTAGGTAGATAAAATCTCATGACAAACTCAGAGAAAACCAAAAACCAAACTCGTGGCCATCGAGTCGATTGCGACTCACAGCAACCCTGCAGAACAGAGTAGAAATGCTCTGCTCAATAGGGTTTCCAAGGAGCTGATCGTTTGATTAGCAGCTGAGCTCTTAACCACTGTGCCACCAGGGCTCCAAACTTGGAGAAGGAACTTAGAAAAGAACAAAGAGAGAGAGATTGAGTGGTATGGTGCACAGGAGGACTGGATTTTATGGGCTAGGTTAGGTAAAAGGGAAACCAGGTACTGCAAAGCAGAATCTTTTGTCCCTGAGCTGGCAGGTGTGGATTGATGCAGCTGTGTGGCTCTAGAGTCTCTTTTTTCATCATTTGTCATTTGGTACTACTTCTTTTGGAATGGTTCAGTACAGAAAAGAATCTGATGTTTTGAAGATTTTGATATTTACTAAAATTTTCAGGCATCATTTCTTAATGGGTCTGTAAGCTTGAAATTCCTGTTGTATGAGTTTTTAAGTAAGATGGGAGTACTTTATACTAGTATGAAAGAAATACGAAAAATGTAGTACTGTTGAAGTTGTAAAGCGATTCCATACATTATATGTATGTTATGTTGTTGTTAGGTGGTGTCAAATCAGTTCCAACTCACAGCGACTCTATAGGACAGAGTAGAACTGCCTCATAGGGTTTCCAAGGAGCAGCTGGTTTTGAACTGCTGACCTTTTGGTTAGCAGGCAAGCTCTTAACTACTATACCACCAGGGCTCCTATATATGTGTATTTCTTAAATATATGTATCCAAATAAGAAGTCACAATTACTGACTTTTTTTAGTTAGAAATTATCTTGAGGATCATCTAGTTTTTTTTTCTTTTTTTAATAATAATTTTTTTGTATGTGTTTTAAGTGAGGAAACCCTGGTGGCTTAGTGGTTAAGAGTTCAGCTGCTAACCAAAAGTTGGAATCCACCAGGCGCTCCTTGGAAAGTTCTACTCTGCCCTGTAGGGTCTCTATGAGTCAGAATCCACTCGATGGCAATGGGTTTGGTTTTTTTGGTTTGTTTTAAGTGAAAGTTTACACAGCCAATTAGGTTTCCATTTAACAATTTTTATACAAATTGTTCTGTGCCGTTGGTTACAGTTGTTACAGTGTGTCAGCATTCTCATTATTTCCATTCTGTTATGTTTCCATTGATCTAGCTTCCCTTCCCCTTCTTGCCTTCTCATCTTTGCTTTTGTATAAATTTTGGACTGTTTGGTCTCATATAGTTAATTGTTTACTCATATCGTGTTCAGGGAGCACATTACTCACTTGTGATACTGCTTATTTTATAAGCCAATCTATTACTTGGTGACTTGCAGAAATAGCTTCAAATCCAAGTTCAGAGGTTATCTTGGAATGATAGTCTTGGGCGTTCCAGTAGGTCTGGCCTTTTTTAGGAATTTGAATTTTGTTCTACATTTTTTCCCATTATATTTAGGACCTTCTATTGTGTCCCTGGTCAGAACAGTCGGCAGTGGTAGCCGGGCATCATCTAATTCTTATGGTCTCAGGTTAGAGGAGGCTGTAGTTCATATGGGCAGGTAGTCACTTGGACTAGTTTCTTCTTTGAGCCTTTGATTTCCTTCATTCTCTCTCTCCTTTTTTTTTTTTCCCCCAGTTTTCAGACAGTTTATTTTTTCTAATATAAGCAAATTGCCTTCTTTCTTTTTTTAACAAACAAATTTATATTCTCCAGTTTTGGAGGCTAGAAATCTGAATTCAGAGCGCCAACTATAAGAAAACCTTCCTTCATTCTGTTTTGCTACATATGAGCATAGACCAATAGCTGTATACTTAGATGGCTGCTCGCAAGCTTTTAAGACTCCAGACGTAGAACATTATCTTTGTGAACTATGTTACAGTTGGTCCAAGTGACTCGGTTGTCCCCCAAGACCATGGTCCCAGGCCTTCTAGCCCAGTAAACCAGTGCTGCGAGTTGTTTGTATATGTCTAGAAAGCCTCTGTAACTGTGCACCCCCCTCCATGTGGTTTGTTATTTATGTGGGTATATATGCAGCACGGAGCCCTGGTGGCATAGTGGTTGAGAGCTCGGCTGCTAACTAAAGGGTTGGCAGTTCGACTCCACCAGCCACTCCTTGGAAACCCTATGAGACAGTTCTTCTCTGTCCTGTAGGGTCGCTATGAGTAGGAATTGACTCGACGGCGTCGGGTTTGGTTTTGGTTATATGTAGCACATTGTATGTACAAATTTGTATATGCATATGCCTACAGATACACCTATATGTGCATGTGCATTTAAAGACAATCTAATTTTAACCTTTTTTTATGGATAAGAAATTTTGTATTGGGTAATTGGAGTGTAATTGTTTATGCCCATAGTTGAAGTCTTTTAATTATAGTGCAGCTTCCAATGTGATTATGTATGTTGGCCATGGAAATAACATTTATCCCTATAGATCATCTCTTTTTTTAAATTAAATTTAATTTTTTACAGTTTTTATAGTTCCTTAATCTTGTGGTAAAAATCTGCACAATCACTGCAGAATCTTTATTCCTTTTTGCTGGCACCAACCTTGGCTTTGCAGTCTCCCTGACTTTCTTCATTCTGTTCTTGGGTTCCTTTCACTGTTCTCTTGAACTCGTTTTCTTCTCATACAGGCCGTATTTTGCAAGTCTATGTTTGGGTTCGTTTTTCTTTGCTAATCCAAGGAATAGTAAGTCATGTGTCATGCCGAAGCCAGTTGTTTTGTTTCTGAATCCAAACGCAAGGATGACATCTGGTGTGGTCTTATACGTTTTGGCTAGTTTTTCCAGAATTTCTGTCTTAAGTATCTTTGCCTTCCCAGGGTGAAGGACTCTGATGACTATTTGTTTCCGCTGAAGTGGTCACTTGTTTATGAACTTCTTGGTCCAGATACTTCCATGTCGTTCATGATGGTGGTCACTCCTCAGGCAGCCAGGGAAGAAAAGTTGTATTTTTGTTATTTTTAAAGTATACATACAGTTATTGAGAAATCTTGTTTATATACATATGCTGGTGAGAGTATAGAGTTTTGTTACAGCAGTGTTGCTCAATTCTTTGATCTGAGTTAATGTGCTATAAAAATCACCTATTGATTATATATATATGTATATATATATATATATAAAATAACGAGTGACTTATTAATTAACAAGTTAGGTCTTTTTTTAATTTTGATGAAAGCAAAGAATTGGAAGCCAAATACTCAAAAAGGATTTGATTTTCTAATCATTAGAGTCATAACACTTTTTCATGAAGAGAGATGTTTAGATTTTGCCTTTCCTACTCCTAAGTGTTACATTATAGTCCCTCCCTCTTCTGATTTCCCTTCTCTCAATCTCTTCTTGTAACTTCTGCTGCATTCTCTGTCATATTCACGCTCCCCTCCCACCTCTGCTCCTCTCCCTCCCTCTTGATCTTGAGAGCTGTCTTTCTCTGTGTCCTGATCCTGGAAGCCTCATGCCCTCTTACATCACCCCCAGTTCCCTAGTCTCTAGTCTTTACTGTCTCTCTCTCTCTAAGAGGTTGTCTGATAACCAAAAAGTCGACAGTTCGAGTCCACCAGCCACTCCCTGGAAACTCTATGGGGGCGGTTCTGCTCTGTCCTGTAGGGCCACTATGAGTCAGAATCGACTCGACGACAACGAGTTTGGTTGGTTGTTTTTTGTTTTTTTTTCCTCTCTTTAAAGTTTGTGTATTGAATTTTTTTACCCCCGTAATGAATGTGACCCCCTTACTTATTTTCTTTTTTAATATTATTGTACTTCAGGTGAGGGTTTACAGAATAGTTTCTCATTAAACAGTCAGTACACATATTGTTTTATGACATTGGTTAACAACCCCACGACATTTCAACACTCTCCCTTTTCGACCTTGGAGGACCTTTTTTTTTTTTTTTCGTGAAAATATTCATAGCCAAAAAGATAACCATTTCAGAAATTTCTACATGTACAATTCAGTGACATCGATTACGTTCTTCCAGTTGTGCTGCTGTTCTCACTGTCCTTTTCCAAATTATTCCATCACCATTATCTTCAACTGACTGGCCCCTAGGGTTGCCATCAAACCTTTTGAGTTGCTATTGTCAATTTGATCTCACATAAATAATTTTTTTTTTTTTTTTGGTACTTTAGATGAAGGTTTACAGAACAAATAGTTTCTCAAACAGTTAGTACACATATTGCCTTATGACAATGGTTAACCCCACAACATGTCAACACTGTCCCTTCTCAACCTTGGGTTCCCTATCACCAGCTTTCTTGTCCCCTCCTGCCTTCTAGTCCTTGTCACTGGACTGGTGTGCCTCATTAGTCCCGTTTTGTTTTATGGGGCTGTCTAATCCCCGGCTAAACGGTGAACCTCAGGAGTGACTTCACCTCTGAGCTAAAAGGGTGTCTGGGGGCCCCTTACTTACTTATGTAAAAAGCAACATGCATGTATAGTTTAAAATCTCTGTTTTATAAAAAGTAGCTACAGAATCTATGCTTTTACGATAATATCCTGCCTCTAAAAAGGCAGTTACTAAAACTGATGCTTTAGCAGTAGAAATGCATAGTTTGTTCTTAGTAATATGGATGTTATATGGCTCCATAGAATTATAATTAACAAATGTATAGATTATTCTTCAGATTTAGATCTTAATTTTGAGAACTGATTATGGTTTCAAGTAAATGTTTATCTTGATTACAAATATGAAAGTGTTAGCTAAAAGTGGCTTGTCAGACTTGAAATCTAAGAATATGCCTTCAAGATTTTAATTATTCATTCATTCAGCCAACAATGGATGCCTACTGTGTGCCAGGTACTATACTAGAGATACACTGGTGAATAAGACAGAGATTGAGTCATTAAAAGCTTCAAATCTGTAGTATAAACAGACTAGCTGTTGTTTTTTGCTAATTGCAGAAAGATTGCTTTTTAAAACTAAATTTCCAGTTACAGGATTGAATTTACTATTTTTCTTTTCTTGTCTGTGAATTCCAGTATAGTTTTGAAAGGGTTTTCCCTCTAAACGGGTGAGTTTTTTTCCCCATATTTTATTTATTTTTTTGTACTTTAGATGAAGGTTTACAGAACAAATAGTTTCTCATTAAACAATATGCATATTGTTTTATGACATTGGTTAACAACCCCACGATATATCAACCCTCTCCCTTCTTGACCTTGGGTTCCCTATTACCAGCTATCCTGTCCCTTCCTGCCTTCTAATCCTTGTCCCTGGGCTGATGTGCCTCATTAGTCTCGTTTTGTTTTATGGGGCTGCCTAATCTTCGGCTGAAGGGTGAACCTTGGGAGTGACTTTGTTACTGAGCTAAAAGGGTGTATGGGGGCCATACTTTAGGGATTTTCCAGTCTCTGTCAGACCAGTAAGTCTGGTCTTTTTTTGTGAGTTAGAATTTTTTTCTACATTTTTCTCCAGCTCTGTCCGGGACTTTCTGTTGTGATCCCTGTCAGAGCAGTCAGTGGTGGTAGCCGGGCACCATCAAGTTGCATGGGACTCAGTCTGGTGGAGGCTGTGTTAGTTGTAGTCTCTTAGTCCTTTGGACTAATCTTTGCCTTGTATCTTGTTTTCTTCATTCTCCCTTGCTCCCAAAGGGGTGAGACCAGTGAAGTATCTTAGATGGCTGCTCGTAGGTTTTTAAGACCCCAGATGATACTCACCAAGGTAGAATGTAGAACATTTTCTTTAGAAGCTATGTTACGCCAGTTGAGCTAGATGTTTCCTGAGAACATGGTCCCCACAGCCCTCTGCCCAGCAATTCGGTCCCTCAGGGAGTTTGAATGTGTCTGTGGAGCTTCCATGACCTTTCCTTGTACAAGTTGTGCTGGCTTCTAAACGGGTGATTTTGGATTGCCATTTGAATGTTGAGTCTATTCTATGTAACTTGCTTTTGGGGCAGGGGCAGGGGGTTGTTTGCTTGCTTTTTTTTTTTTTAAATTTATTTTTTATTGTTAAGTATACATAGCAGAACATACACCAACTTAACAGTTTCTACATGCGACATTGATTATATTCTTCAAGTCGTGGAAACCATCTCACCCTTTACTCAGTTTTTCCTCCCCCATTAACATAAACTCACTGCCCCCTAAGTTTCCTATCTAATCTTGAGAGTTGCTGTTGTCAGTTTGATCCCATATAGGTAGCTCTTAAAAAAGCACAAACTATTGTTTGGCTTTAAAAAAGACTTCAGGGGATATATTTGGTTTAAAGTTGCCGGTTTAAAGATTATCTCAGCAGTAGTTTTGGAGGTTCATCCAGCTCCGTGGCTTCAGAAAGCCTGAATTCCATGGGAATTTAAAATTCTGTTCTGCGTTTTATTTTTTTGGATCAGGATTCTTCTATAGAATCTTTGATTAAAACATTCAGTAATGGTAGCTGAGCACCACCTAGTTTTTCTGGTCTGACAGAGGAAGCAGTTGTTCATGGAGGCAGTTAACCACACATTCCACTTCTTCCTCCTGTTCCTGGCTCTCCTTCTTCTGTTGCTCCAGGTGAATAGAGACCAATTGTTGTACCTTGGATGGCCACTTGGAAGCTTTTAATACCTGAGGCACTACACAATGAAGTAGGAGATAGAACAGAGGCACTAAACATGCTGTCAGGCCAGTTAACTGGAATGTCCCATGAAACCATATAGTCCGGCTTTTTTTTTTTTTAATTGTACTTCAGGTGAATGCTTACAGAACAAATAGTTTCTCATGAAACAGTAGTACACATATTGCTTTATGACATTGGTTAACAACCCCACAACATGTCAACCCTCTAACTTCTCAACCTTTTTTTTTGGTGAAAATACACATAGCCAAAGATATACCATTTCAAAAATTTCTACATGCACAGTTCAGTGACATTGACTACGCTCTTCGAATTGTGCTGTTATTCTCACTTAAGGTGAAGGCTTACAGAACAAAATAGTTTCTCATTTAACAGTTACTACACATGTTGCCCTGTGACAATGGTTAACAATCTCACAACACATCAACAATATCCTTACTCAAACTTGGGTTCCCTATCACCAGCTTCCGTGTCCCCTTCTGCCTTCTGGCCCTTGTCACTGGACTACTGTACCTCATTAGTCTCATTTGGTTTTACGGGGCTGTCCACTCCCAGGCTGAACGGTGAACGTCGGCGGTAACTTCACCACTGAGCTAAAAGGGTGTCTGGGGGCCATACTCTTCGAGGTTTCTCCAGTTTCCTTTAGGCCAGTAAATCTGGTCTCTTTTTTGTGAGTTAGAATTATGTTTTACATCCTTCTCCAGCTCTGTCCAGAACCCTTTTTTGTGATCCTGGTCAGAGCAGTCAGTGGTGGTAGCCGGGCACCATCTAGCTGTACTGGACTCAGTCTGGTGGAGGCCTTGGTAGCTGTGGACAATTAGTCCTTCGGACTGATCTTTTCCTTATATCCTGTTCTCTTCATTCTCCCTTGCTCCCGAAGGGATGAGACCAGTAGAGTATCTTAGATGGCCGTTCACAGGCTTTTAAGACATATAGACCAGTTTTGCTTGATCTCTACCATGTGTTCTTTGTTAATCTCTTTCAATGATAGTACTGGTTATCACTTTATAATTGCTTTATCATATGTGTCTGTCTTGCTAGTCTGAGTTGTCTGAGGTCTTGGATTGTGTCTTATTCATCTTTGAAGCATAGATTTATAGTGTAGCCTGGTATCTGTCTGGCTTGTTTGAAGTGTTTATAGTTGAATCGTGTTATAAATGGGAAGTGTTAGACAGTTAAGTTTCTATCCTAACTTTGTCTTGTTCTGTATGTCACCATGAGTAAGTTCCTTATACTCTCTGTCCTAAAATTTCCTCGAATCCAAAATGGAGAGAATAACCATTAGAATAATATCTAAAAGTAATGTGCCTACCTAGACTAGTGTTAGCTTCCTTTTGTCAGTTTTGTGTCAGTGAGGATGTGTTGGCTGTATAAAATAGAATAATCCAATTAAAAGTGGTGTAAACGTTAAGGAAACTATATTGATTCACATGAAAAGAATTTCCAGGGCTAGTTAATTCAGTGGTTCAATAATATCAAGTTCTTTCCATCTTTCTACTTCCTCTGTCTTCAGCATATGCCTTGGTCCTTTGACTAGCTCTCCTCAAGATTACAAATTGGCTCTAAGCAGTTCCAGATATCATCCTCCTATGGAAGCAGGGAGAGAATTTGTTTTACTATTATCCTTTTTTTGTAGAGGCAGCACACCTCTCATTTGGCAAGACTGGGTGCATGCTTAATCCCACATCAATTACTGGCAAGGGAATGAATGAGTAGATTGGCTTATATTAGTCAAGAATCATACCTTGGGACTGGGGAGATATCCAGCCTCTTTGAAAGTATATGGTAGTCTAACACTTATCAAAAATCATGCTGTTATCCAGGAAAAGGGCAGAATGGTTTTTGGATAGGTAACCAACAGTATCTGCCATGGTATTTTTAGAAAATTCACAAATGAAAAAGAAATAAAATCTTTAGCGCCATCCTCCTGTAATCAACCATTTACCTTGTGGGGCAAGGGACAGTCTCAAACAGTGAAGGATTCTCTCTCCCCAAATGCCAACAGTGTCTTCATTGAGAAAATACATATTCTGAAGAATTCTTCTGTAGTAGTAATAGTAGTACATAGTAGTAGCAGCAGCTGCCTTTTCTAGTTTGAAATAAAGTAAAATGCTGGCTTAGCATCTTTTTACTTTTGGAGCTTTGTAAAATAGAATCCATCTAAACTGAACAGTTAGATTGATACATTTAACAAAAATACAAATTATGTGTGTTTTTTGTTTTGTTTCTATTTTCAGTGAATGAGCTCATTCTCAAACAGAAGCAAAGATTTGAGGAAAAGAGGTTCAAATTGGACCACTCAGTGAGTAGCACCGTATGTTTCAGCTCTTATTACTATTTTTAATGAATTTAATTTTGTTGTTTTTATTGACTTAATTAATTAGATGTCAAAGTTTAGTATATTATTGATTTCTTTTAAAGGAGATTTCTTTGGGATTGTTTTATTCAAATGTAGGACCTTTTAAACTGCATTGTCTGAAATACTTTATTAGAGTTATCTTTTGAAAAGTTTGATGGGGTTACAATGAGGTGTAATTGGCTTGTAATACATGGCATTTGAAGGAGTATAAGGCGAGGTGAAACTATAAGCAGATATTTTGGAAAAACTATTGAAAGATTTTATGATAAGAGTATGAGGCCCAATTTATGGGGCAAGTGAGCTTAAATTAATACCTTACTAAGTATAACGTGGAGTCCTGGTGGCACAGTGATTAAGAGCTTGGCTGCTAACCAAAAGGCTGCTGAGTCTACTGGCTGCTCCTTGAAAACCCTATGAGGCAATTATACTCTGCTATAGGGTTGCTAGGAGTTGGAATTCGCTTGACGGCAATAGGTTTGGGTTTTTTTTTTCTGTTGTTGGTAAGTATAAAGTTGAAAATACGACTAGGGAAACAATTGAAATCCAGATATTTCGAAAATTATACTTTTAGAGATTCTAAGTTGACATTTGCCTTGAATATACCTTTCATATCTGTCATCTAAATTCATTTAAGGGAGAAATAGTATTTAAATTATGTCTAGGAAGGCAGTGGAAGTCAGAGGAGTAGGTTGCAATATTATATTTTTGATATCTATGTAGTAAACATATTAGGAAATAGGAATTAAACGTTTATTTTAGAGAGTCTGAGACAGTCTTGGAAAGTTATTGTTTCTTCTTTCCTTCATTTTTAGAATGGCCACAGATGGCAAATATTTCAGGATTTCTTGGGAACTGACCAAGATAATCTTGATTTGGCTAATGTCAACTTCATGCTGGAGTTACTAGTGCAGAAGAAGAAACAACTGGAAGCAGTAAGTGGCAGTTAAAACAAATTTGTTTTATATGGTGCTCTATTGCATTCAAAAAGATGTAGAAATGTTAAAAAATAATAGCGTAGTATCACTTAATCCATCAGTTTTTCTCTGCAAGGAACATCTGCAAGGTGTCACTTCTAATAGATACCCCTTTTTTGAAGTAAAAGAAAGAACAAATTCCTTATTATGTAACTTATTTGTGATGCCCAGTTTGTATCAACAACAGCTGAGTACAACTTAAGATTAAAGTACAGTTTTATTTTAATAAGGAACAGTTGTATTTTTCATCTAATGAATGTCTTCCTTGCCATATCTGCCCCTCTTCACATACGAGATTTGGAGGAGAAAATAGAGCAGGTGTCCATTGGTAGCAGCAGTAGTATTAAAGAACATTTAACAAGTTATGAACTGAATCTTAATATATCTTATTTAATGCAGTAGAATGTAAATAAATGTAAAATGGCATTTATTTTATGTAAGTAAATGTAAAATGTGAAATTGCATATAATAGGAACTAAATACGATCTCTTCAAAGCAGTATCTTGGCATAAGCAAATAGCTACCCTGACCTAGCTGAAACAAAAAAGAAGTTGTTATTGAGAGGAAAAGGGAATGAGATGAGTAGATCACCAAAAAAAAAAAGGAGCTGAATAACCAAAATTTGGTATGAATGGAATCATGGCTTCTCTCAGGGACTGTAAGTAAATGAGATCAGGGATGGAGTGTCGTTTGGAGTCTTTCTTTTGTGCCTCATGTGCCTGTCTCTGTGGGATAGCTCTGATTTTCTTTTCTCATAGATTTTATCACATAGTGGATAACGTAGTCATCTACATTTCTTTGTTTTTATTTATGATTTTAATAAAAGAAGAAAAAGAATGTTTCTTTTCAACTTCATTTTTAAAAATTTTGCCGAGGGACTCTGATTGATGGAGCTTGGGTCTGGATCTCACTGAGTGGGGTGGGAGTCTGTTGGTAGGAGAAGAGTATATGAGGTCAAGTTGACCAAAATGAATGTCTCCCATGGTTTGGACTTTTTGGGGGGCAGGGTTAGGGGAATTTCTCCTATGGTTTTAACCATAGTTTTCTTTAACTGACCAGGTAAAATCCTTAGAACAGAGATTCTTAAAATGGGATCCATGGACCAGGTTTTTGGGTGGGGAAAGGTAGGTGTCTTTGAGTTCCTATTCATTGATTGATTCATTTACTCTTTCAGCTAACACTTTCGGAACATCTTCTGTGTACCAGTGTTAAGGGCTATGGACACAACAGACAAGGGTTCTCATGAATATTACATTGTGGCGTGTGTGGTGATGGTGGTGGGGATGAAATCAATTAAGTAAATATTTTCATATAGTGGTACATGATATAAAGAGACTTTTTTGTAAAGATGGTAGATTGAACATATTGAAATGCCTTGCTCTATTTTGAAAGCCTATGAAAAGGACAATAAAGGGATTTTTTAAAAGGAAGGAAGATGGGAGAAGAGACAATACATCAATGTTTTATAAGCTTATAAAGCAGTTAGATGAAAGGTAATAAATAGGCAGATTGGAGAAAGCTAAATACTAAGCTAGCAGTGGGAGGAAAGCTGAGAACGAACTATATTATTTATAATGTGGAGCAAAGGCCCTAGGATTGGGAGCATTATGTATCTCATATAGTAAAGGCTGAGAACTGGATAATTGATTGGAATCTGTCTAGGAAGCAATTGGAATCCCTGGTCTTTCTTGTGCAACTCAGAACCAGTGCTTCCCTTTTTTCTACCCCAGGAGAAAACTAGAGGGTTTTTTTTTTTTCCTTTCTCTTGGAGTAGGTAAAAGAGAGGATCTCTGGACTGTTGTACAACAGGCACATTTAAGGGTAAAATATATGTACCATCCTAAAAATAGATAAATTTACATACTGAATGTGAGAGCTTTTAATCTTCTATCCAGACTCGTACCTGGAACTTCTGCATTGAGGCTTGTACCCACCAGGGAGCAGACTGGAAGAGTTGTCTTGGGGAGGTGGGTGGGAGGAAGAGTGCACAGCATAAGAGAAAAGATCAAAAAATAATCACATTGGGGATTTCTAATGAACTGGTCCAGCCTCATTAACCTAGATCAAAGCTTCTAGTAAATAAGGCTCACTTGTGAGCTGTGAGCTTCCAGTCAGCTCTTTAAGAGTTTCTTGCTTAAATAATGACAGTCATCACTAGACAGTTGAGGGAAGAAAATAGAAAAAAATCAACTTAGTGGAAAAAGATTATGTACAAAGAAGAAAAGGTGAGTAAGTAAATAAATACTGTTAATGTGCACAGATAAAATATATATATTTTATATATGTTTTGCTTTAGGTGAAAGTTTACAGAGCAAATTAGTTTCTCATTAAACAATTAATACACAAATTGTTTTGTGACACTGGTTGCCAACCCCATGATGTATCAATACTCTCTCCTTCTCCACCCTGGGTTCCCTATTTCCATTCGTCCAATTTTCCTGTCCCTTCCTGCCTTCTTGTCTTTGCTTTTGGGCTGGTGTACCCATTTAGTCTCGTATACATGATTGAACTACAAAGCACATTCCTCACGTGTATTATTGTTGGCCCTATAGACTTGTCTGATCTTTGACTGAAGGGTGAACCTCAGGAGTGATTTCAGTACTGAGTTGAAAGGGTGACCAGGGGCAGATAAAATATTTTGATTCTGTGAAAGAGGAACAAGATGTTTTATAGGAGGGGTATTCAAAGACAATGTCTTTTGGAAAATAAGAATGATAGGAAAATGAAAAACTCAATATAAAGGTTGGAAATTAAAGTTAAGAAAAATCTCCCAGAAAGTAGGACAGAAAGAGTAGAAAGTCAAAAATATGGAAAAGAGAAAACTTAAGAAATTAAAAGTTAAGTAAAATAAATAAAATTAAAGACCCAGTATCCAAATAATAGGAATTCCAGGAAGAGAAACCTGAGAAAAGAGAAGGAAGAAATCTTCAAATAAATAATAAATTTTTGAGAATGGAAGAACATGAATTTCTAAATTGAAAGGTCTGATCAAGTGCCTAGTACAAATAAGATGTCTGAGAAAGACTCAAAGTAAAATACATCATGAAATTTCAGAACACTAACGATAGTCCTGTAAGCTTCCACAAAGATAAAAAACAGATTTTATACAAAGGATTAGGAATCGAAATGACATTTGAATTGTCAGCAGCCACGCTGGAAATTAATGGACTCTACAAAGTTCTGAGGGAAATAATTCCCAGTCCAGATTTATATACCCAGCCAAACTCTTTAATAGGTGTAAAAATAGACCAAAGTATTTCATATGTAACTCATTAAAAATTTTTACGTTATAGAAGCTACGGGAACATAAGCAACATTAAAATGAAAGATTAAAATAAGAAATACAGCATTGTTGTTCTGTGCCATCCAGTCAATTCTGACTCATATCAACCTTCTATGAAAGAGTAGAACTGCCCCATAGGGTCTCCTAGGCTGTAATCTTTACGGGAGCAGATTGCCCGGTCTTTTCTCCAGTTTAACTGGTCTTTTCTCCAATTTAATTGGTCTTTTCTCCAGTTTAACTGCAAACCGCTCACCTTTTGTTTAGCACCAACCTTATGTTTAGCAGCCAAGTGCTTAACCATTGTGTCACCAGGGCTTCTTCCGAAATACAGCAAGAGGATACCGGAAATAGGGAATCTCAAACAAAAGGGAGTCTCCAGAATGATGATGGGAAGAGATCCTAAGACAACAAACAGTTCTGTCACAGACCTAGAAAGTGGCCGACAGTGCAGATTGGAGCATGTCAGGAAGTTTAAGAGCTTTCTTTCAGAAGATGATAAAATATGTGATGATTCTAGACATACTGATAGAATTTTTAGCTGCTGGGAAAAGTTCGGAGTTGAATACATAAAAAACTAAACAAATGAAAAAAAAAAGACAATTTTTAATTCCAGAAGTAGTATTGTACAGCAAACAAAAAATAATCATAACATACTACGTGACTTTTTAAAATGTTACATGGAAAAAAAAATCAACCTGGACTTCTATATACAGGAAAACTAGAAGGAGAAACATTATGCTTTCATAATGTTTCATATTATATCACAGATTTCAGATGCTGTGTTTTTTTTTTTTTTTTTTTAGTTTTTTTTATTGTACTTTAGGTGAAGGTTTACAGAACAAATAGTTTCTCATCAAACAGTCAGTACACATACTGTTTTATGGCATTGGTTAACAACCCCACGACATGTCAACACTCTCCCTTCTC